ATCCTCCCACAACTCATCTGGTCTTCGCTCATTAGTGTTCAAGGCCTCAAACCTGTTCCTGAGATGATTCTGAAATTCAGGTGGTATGAAATCAAAGTCAGAAGAAAAACCAGAGTCATGAGTAGTCCACATAGGAACAGCAGGTTCCCACCAAGTACAACATAAGCAGCTACCTGGAACGCTGTACCTTTCAGATGACAGGACATCACTAAAAAGTTATGAGGATGAAAACTGGTACAAATTTTTCCCACATTAATTAATAACTAAGAGAAACTGTTATAACCCTAAAGTCAACAAACAGGAAGAGCATCATTTTTAAGAGGATTACATATTTTTCTGTTTGGGGAGAAAAATAGATTTTGATTCACCAATGCAGAAGAAAGGTGAATACAAATGGTGGTCCTACATCCCACAGCAAAGAATGGCCTCTTATCAGGTTTTGGTTGTCAAAAGCAGTGAACACCAACATTGCAGTTCTGAATTATTTCAGAGTGAAATGTACGACTGCTGAGGATGACAAAGCTGAGGGTATCTAAGTGCCAGGGCTGGAACTGCATTCTAAATCAGGAGACAGTTCTAAAAAGGTACTTTTCCTATCAAAAAAAAAAGTCAATTAAGTAAGCAACATTCAACAAGTGGAATTTCATTATTTAAACTGAAGCTAACTAATAAAAAATGCATTCTAAAAATGAGCTTATGAATGATATATTTTTTCATCAAGAAAAGCTACTTGTAGCTCCCTGGTAAGCAGCTGAGCTCCCAACCAAAAGGTGTGAATCCATCAGCTGCTCTCCAGGGACAGATAGCCACTCTCCTCTAGTGTGATTTCCAAAACATGCTAGAGTTCAACTATGAGTTGGATCTGACTCGACAGTGTATAAAAATGACATAGTAGGGAATCACGAGAGCTCTGGTAGCACAGTTGGTAGAGAAACATGCTGCTAACCTAAAGGCAAGTGGTTTAAATCCACCAGCACCTACAAAAGAGAAAACTCTCCTCTTGTGTGATTAACAGTCTCAGAAAACATGTTGAAGGAACTTCTATGGAGTGTCTCCGACTCCATGGCAATAAGGCTGAAGAGTAATTAAAACCTAAAGTAACTAATGCCTTCCAAAGACAATCAGTTGCTTTAAGAAAAGTACTCAGTTTTTAGGGCTTTTATCAACATGGTTTATTTCAAGGCAGACATATTTAATGATCATAATTCTCTTTAATAACCAAGAAGGAAAGTTTGAATGATAAGACAAAGACTAACAGCAAAGAAGAAAGTGGTTCCAAGAGTCCTGTGAAGAAGGTGAGTCTGCGAGTCTGCAGTCAAAGTGTGCTGGCTATATTAGTTTGCTGAGGTTTTGTTTGGGGGGGTGTGTGTGCGTGGGGTGCGTGGGGTGTGTGTGTGTGTGTGTGTGTGTGTGTGTGTGTGTGTGTGAATAAAGGAAAGTATAGGACTTGCCTCTCAGCTCACTTCCTTACGAGGAACTCAGAGATAGTGTCCCTGCAGTTCTAAAATTCAGCAACAATGAAGACGTTCCTTGCAGGCGTATGCTTTCCATAAACCAGAGCTGTAGGAGTGAATGTCACTGAGTTCTACTGAGTGTTTGGTAGCAAGCAGTGCTGGGCTGGAACCACAGGCAGAGAAGCCTGAGTGTGAGCTAACCTCAGCCTCGAGGTGGGAACATGGTCAGAGTATGGGTTTTGTTATCACACAGAGCTGGACACACATCACATATGTAAAGTTGGGGCAAACTCACTGTGAGAATTAAAAAACAGAGTGAGCGCGCGGTGTTTAGCACAGTGCCTGGTATACCCACCCACTGCCATAGAGGCGGTTCCTACCTATAGAGACTCTCTGCTGGGTTTCCAAGACAGTAACTCTTCACAGAAGGAGACTATCTTTCTCTCGCAGAGCTGCCAGTGGATTCTGACCACTGACCTTTCAGCCAACAGCATATCACATTATGCATTATGCTAACAGGTCCTGGTGCCTGGTGTACATGAACCATGACATAAATGCAGATTCCAGAAGAAGTTTCAGTTACTCGCTTCATTTCACTTATTAAGTTAGTAGATTCACTTCAATTATTTTGAATCATTCACCTCTATTATTTTACTATTAAGTATTATTTTTTTTCTCCTAGCAAAAAAAGATAAAAATTATGGAACCTCACAAAACTGGAAAGGACCCTAAAATCCTTTCATCTAAGTCTCTGCTTTCAGATAGCTTTATTATCTGTTATTTTACTAATGGACCCATCAAGGACACGAGTAGTTAAATAGACATGAAAATTGTTGCTTATGTCCTCAGTAGTCTCTCAGAGTCTAGAAACAGTGAACATAATTCTCTGGTGTGTTTCCTACTAAGAATCATGTCAGCTTCTGTTGCTACAATTTTTTTAAATGAGATTAAAGTGCACAAGCCAAAGACAGAGGACAACAAATTATCAAAAGTGGTAACTTAAACAGTAAACAACTATGACAATGATAATGAATGAAGCTTGTGTTAACCTATACTTGCAGCTCTAGTGGCTTAGTGGTAAGGAGATGAGCTATCAACCTAAAGGCACATGGTTCAAATCCATGAGCTGTGCCGGAAGAGAAAGACGGGCAGTCTCCTTGTGATTTACTGTCTCTGAAAACCATTGGAGCATCAACTATTAGTCAGTTTTGACTCTTTGGTACACAACAATAACAACACTTATTACGTTGGTAAACAAAAATGCAGCACGTAGATCCCATTCACACTGTAACTATAACCAAGTAAAATTATGTATATACAGTCTTAGTGGTGCAATATATAACCTACTGGGTTGTTAATCAAAAGACTAGCAGTGTGAACCCAACAGCTACTCATTGGAGAATGTGGGGGCAGTCTCCTCTCAAAGAGATTACACTCTCAGAAACCTACTGGAGGATCGCTTTAAGCTGGAACCAACTCAACAACAATGTGTTAGCAGCAGTAATTGGAAAAGATCTTTAAAAATTACTATAGTTGAACAGAACGGAAGCACAGTGCAGCATATTCTTTACTGAATGATAACACTGTTGTTGGCACAAGAAAACATGTCAATAGAAACCATCACAAGCAAAGAATGGTTCACTTACCCTGGGTTATACAACATGACAGCAGACAGGTTCTCTCGGGACTTGGAGAGGTCGGTCATGGATAAGCTGAAGGAGGACAGAAGGCCACTCTAAGAGCAGAGCAAAGGGCAGAGCCATTACTTTCCTAAACAAGAGAATACTAGTGCTCTTAACTCAGTTTTGAACAGAAGGGGGTGGGACAATGAGGTACTTTCACTCCTAACTGGAACATAAAACATATGGGGACAATTATTGTTAACAAGTCAGAGACAATAAGGCTCTGGCCACATCTAACACCCAAATCATAAATGAAGCACAACCAGGAAAGCGTATTCATCACAATTTTCCCAGGTCCTGCTCACCTCCCACCATGCTAGACAAGAGCTGGGGGGCAGGGGTCATTGTGTTGGTCACCTACATTGCATCACTCTGCAAATCCAACTTACTGGACAATAACGACAAAGAGGGGTGAAATGATGGAAGACTAAAGCAAGAGTTAGTCTTATTTTGCTTCCATGAAAACCTATTGGCAAACACATTTCTTCTCTTTGCTCTAAAACCATATCCCAGGATCTGAAAGCCTAGAGAAGTCAAGTTTACAGCATTTTGTTAACTTCCCAAGTAAGGTTACTAACAATCCCAAACAGCACTTAGAAAAGCAGGCTAAGTTGAGAGGCTAGGAAATTCTGCTGTAGAGACAGCAGTTCTCTGTTGGCAGGTCAGGACCACAGCTCTTGCTAACCACCTGTTGGGGGAGCAAGTTAGAGAGCGTCTCTGAGTCTCAGTTTCTTGTCTCAATCACGTGTAACAGGGAGTAATCAGTACTGGTTTTCGAAGGCAATGACAAAATATAAGTAGAAGCTTAGTACATGCCTGACTCATGGAACAATTAGCTGCAGCCTCAACGCTCACCATCAGTTTAAGGACCAGCCACAATGCCACCAGGCTGCTGTCCCCTTCAGACCCTTCTTTCTCTCTAGTCTGAAGGCCACTTCTACCCAGAGCTTAGCTGCCCTTCAGATGTCTCCAATTGTCTAAGCCTCAAGTTTCTCACCAACATCTGTATTGATCCATTGTCTGCATCACATTTCAGTTAAAAATATAATGTATTATGGTTGAAAATAAAAATTGATCTGATTTTTATAGTTTTTGAAAGTAATTCTAACATTGGGTCAATTCCTAAAATAGAAACTAACTAATTGAGGTCCTTCTTCACTTGACTGAAGAGGATGCTGAGCTGCTCTGGGAGAGGATGGACAGGAGGAAGTGGGTTCTCTTTGATTGTTCTGGGCTTGACTCACTTCTCCCCAAGTCACCTATAAACAATTTGCTGGAAGTTTAGAATTAATCCAGTCTACACACTTCTAGATTATTATTCACGTAGTCAGTACTCCATAAAACCAAAAACACTGTTTGAAACAGATGAACGCCCATGCCCTGTCCTGCCAACTCCACCACCTGCCACAGGTCAGACTGGGACCTCCACACTGCTCACCTTCCGTTTCTCCCTGAGCTTGGCTGCTTCTTTGGGATGGTTAAAGCGGAACATATTAGTTCTTCCCAAGAGTATCACGGCACCTGAAATCACACAAAAGCAGTAATAAACAAAAGCTATTTGCTCACTCATCAACATCATAAAAACTTCAGTAGCTGGGCCTGATGTATTATAAAACAATGACAATATGTGAAAACATTAATCTCAAAAACCAGTTAATTAGTTATCATCAAATTGATTGCAATTTTGAGCAAACCCTTTTGGAGTCAGGGCTCCATGAGGCTTTCAAAAACTATTTTCTTGGACAGGAATCCAGAATTAAGATTGCAGAGAGAAGTGTACTCGGGGTGGGGGGTGGGGGGAAGGGACGTGGGAATTGTATACTAATGAAGGAATTTTTTTTCTTTTTTTCTTTTCTTTCTTTTTTCTCTCTTCGGAGGGGAGGGGTGGGAAGGGAGAAAATTGCGGCAATGAATGAATGGAAATCCAAAACCTTTGTAAAAAAATAAATTAATTAATTAAAAATTAAAAATTAAAAAAAAAAACTATTTTCTTGGACAAAGGTTACCAGGCGGTTCGACAAGGTGATTCAGGGTGGACTCAAACTTCTAACCTTTCCATTAGCAGTCCAGAACATCAACCATTTGTACTACTCAAGGTTTCTGAAATCAACTTTTGCAACCTATTAAACTGTGACTACAATCTTTTAAAAAAAATCTGAATGTCACGACACTAATATTAGCCAAGAAGTGATAAAACTAGACATTAAAATTTACCACAAAATGTAAAGCTTACTTTTGTTTACTTTTATTGATGGAGAAGAAAACAAGTCTCCAATGAGAAATAATTTGAAGCAAAACAAAGGGGAATAAATTTAGGGAATGTTTATTAATGTCTGTAAAGGAAGAAATCTCAAAGAAAAGTTCTTTCAAAAGAAGGTACAGTGAAATAGGCAGAGTACAGGTAGCTATTACTAAAATCTTCCTCAGACTTAGATAAGAAGAAAATGGTGGATTCAATGTATATGTATTTCTACATGAAAATACTGCTTCTTATTAAAACTCAATTAAAATCTAAATTGATTAGACACACAAGACAGACTCCTTTTTATTGACTCAGGCCCTCCTTAATCAGGACACAATTATAAAAGTAGGAAAGAGTTTAAGCTAACTGTCCAAAGGGAATGAAAAATAAAAAAATTAGTTGGGTAGGAGGCAACAGTTTTAGCTGAAATGGATGGATGGATGGATGGATGGATGGATGGATGGATGGATGGATGGACAAACATATAGACTGACAGGCAGGCAGGCAGGCAGGCACATTCAGATACTTTCTAAGGTCAGAGCTGTCCATACAAAGCTAGCATGGATGTCATGGAAGCAGGTGAGCTTCTTAAGCATGGTCTAATGTATACGAATTGAGAGAGCATTGTGGCAATAAAAACAAGAAACCTTTTTTTACTTCTGCTTCAGGCTCTTAATTCTGATTTTAATTTCTTTACAGAATACATATACAGCCAAGATATAAAGGCCATGTAAAATAGTGTACAGTGAAGAAGAGGTGTTCATTTAAGACAAGCAGTCCAAGAAGCAAAGCTCTGCTGATAATGAATGGGAAATGAGAGTGAAACAGGGTTGTAAATTCTTGCTCCATTGTCTAGTTCAAGCACAAAGAAGCTTGTGTGTGGAGGGGAGATTACTTTAGGCTGACTTAAAGTGTTTTAAGTTTACTGAAGCACACTATATATGATTATGGCAGCATTTTACCAGCCGAAAGAGTCTAATTTCCACCACTTCTTGGCTTGCTGTACTATGTGACTGCATGTTGCTGTGATGTTGGAAGCTTTGTCACCAGTATTTTGATACTAGCAGGGTGATCCATGGTGGACAGTTTCAACAGCTTCCAGACGAAGACAGACTAGGAAGAAAAGTCTGGGAATCTACTAGGTATATTGTTGTTGTTAGCGATCATGAAATTCAACATGATGCACAGTGAGAGACCTTTTGAACAACAGATGTGAACTTAACCTACTCTGTGTTATTCTCATTATCTCTGATATAAATGAGCCCATTGTTATGGTCACTGTGTCAATCTATCTTGTTGGAGGTCTTCCTCTCTTTTCTTGACCCTCTGCCCTTCAAAGTCTCTTTCTAAGAAGTGGCTCCTCCTAACATGTCCAAAATATGTGAGACAAAATTTCACCATCCTTGCCTCTAAGGAGCACCCTGGTGGCACTTTGTCCAAGACAATGTTTGATCCTTTGGCAGTCCATGGGATTTTCAGGAATCTTCTCCAGTGTCACAACTCAAAGGCATCAATTCTTCTTCTGCACACTGGATCTTTCCCCTTTCCTTTACCCACCATCCTCCACCCATCAAATTGTACAATCTTATGATTAAACCCCACCCTGCTCTTTGAATCCTCATACTCATTCTACAATAATGGTCTTATACAATATTTGTCTTTATGAGACTGAATTAGTTCACTTAGCATAGAGAAATTATGGTACATTCAAACAATGGAATACTATGCAGCATGCAGGAGAAATGATTTTCTAAATTACTACCTAAAATGCCATGACCAAGT